GGGACTCTGGGCAGTTTACAAATGGTTAAACATATTTAAACCAAGAAAACAACACAAAGAACAACAAATATGGCAGAGATAACAAACCCAGATGGGGACAAACATAAAGAAGAAAAGGTGTCTGTCATCCTTGCTAAAAGCCTAGGTGAAGATACACTTCTTCAGGGCCCTTCGAAACACCAGGAGGGTGGGTGCTGTTCAAATTTCAGGATGGGGGAAACCTCATTGACAGAGAAGGTAACAAAGATGGTGTACTTCCAAAGACCCGGTAGGTGGTTTTGTTTAACTAAAGGAACCCTGTTGGAGAGAATATTAATCTTATTGCTGCTTCTTTGCCCCAAGTTGCTTGAACGAGGACAAGATATCAATGTGTAACCAATTCACAGCAAAGCACGCTTGGGAAGGGCTGTTCTGCAAAGAGCAAAGAATGAGTTTAAGGTTGCTTTTAGGGAACTGACATTGTCAAGCATTGGCTGAAAAGAGGGGACTTGCTGGTAACTCCTCATCTGTTCTCTGTGCCTTTGCCTTTTGTTGCCTAACTCTTCCAAAGAAGCAAACGTGAGGAATCTCAGGAACATTTGCTTATCTCACTCTCTCTATTTCTGGCAAATCTACAGATGGAAATGAGTAATTGAAAATGGGGCAACTGTGGCAATTACTCCAAGGAAACTGATCCAAAGAAAGAGGAAGAGGAGCTTGCGCAAAGAAACAACCTCCTCCCAGAGCTGCGTCTGTAAGGAAATTTCTTTTCCTCCTTTCCCCTAGAACTCCATTGCTTGCTGCCTTCACACAGAAGAGGGAGCATCTGTTGTTGTTTCAAAATATACATGGCAAATGGAACAGTTGGCTGAGTTGTTCACATCCCAGTGATAGACTTCTCTTCTTTGCAGCAGGGATCCCCATGAGAGGAAGCAAATGCTCCAATCATCAGAAGCTCAACCGGATTTAGATTTATCACCCCACATGGGTTCTTAGAAAGAGGTTTTACTGAATACACTGGAACTTATTTCTGACTAACTGTGTATAACAATTAACTTGAAAGGCTTACTATTTTGTGGGATTGTCAAAATAAAACTAAAACAAAGAGCTGCCAAGAATATTATTTGTTAAATTTTTATCTTGCCTGTATTACTTTCTAAGTAACTCAAGGGGCCAAACATACAGTAGGTAATGCTCCATCCTCCTCCCATTTTCCGTACAGCAACTACCTTGTAACGTGAGTTGGGCTGAGAGGGAGCGTGATTGGCCCAAAGTCACCCAGCTAGTTTTTTTTGTGCCTAACGTGGGACTAGAATTCACAGTCTACTGATTTCTAGGCCAGCACCTTAAGTACTATGCCAGACTGGTTCCATTTCAACTCTTAAAGGAGAAAATTTCACATTCAAGGCTCCAATTTAGAGGTGAGATTTCTAATTTCTTAAGCACAGTACAAAAGATGTGATGTTAGTCCAACAAAAGCAAAACCTGAAATAGTGATGTTTGCTTCAGTCTTAGATGTTATGGCAAAAGCACAAGCACTCTTGGTTTGTTTATACTGTTGATCAGAGAACTTCTTGGAGATGCAGAAGATTACAGGAGTGAGACAAATATGTTTGTGTCTCCACTACAGCAACGGAGCTAGGAAACTCAACATGGATGATGCCTTGAAATTTACATGTTTTAAAAAACAAGCACCCAAAATAAACAAATACTGTATGGAAATGCCAAGGTAACTTGCTTGCATTTCAGTTTATTAAATGCAATTTAATTAAAAAAATTAAATTAATTTTTTTTTTAAAAAATTCTCAGAATCTTGTTTCAGGAAATCAAACTTAGCTTATATCCAAATTTTTCTATATTAGTTATAAATTGCTTATAAAAGGGGGGGCATTTAAAATGGGGCTAAAGTCTAGAGTTTAGTTATAAATGTACTTTAATGCAATATTATACTCATATTCCTAGGCATAAATTCAAGTGTTGACTTCAATAAGCCTGGCTCCCAAGGGACCATGTGTTGAACTATTACCATCAGTTGTGAACCAAAATTGAAGACTAAGCCTAACCCTTTTTTGTTTGCACTAAATCCATCTTTAAATAAATTTAAACAATCTCCCTCTTTAACTTTAATCAAACATTGCATAACTGGAGTGCAATACTCAAGATGGCCACCAGATGGCAGCACAGAGTTAGGATTTTCGGAGCCAGATTGGGGAGTCCATTTAAATTATTCATTAGTTTTACAATAAAGCCTTTCTCAAGTTGGTGACTTGTCTATATAATTTTCCTGGCAATAACTTGGAAGTGGTTTGTAATGGAAACTAATTTTACCCTCTCCTTCCTGGCCACATTCATAGTTGCAGTGCAGGATGAGTCTATATAGTTGATCCCATATCTGCAAGGCTACAAATAAGCCAGAAAAGCTATAACATAACAATCAAAGACTTTCCTTTACAGATGTGGTAGGAAAAGTATGCAAAAGTACAGCTTCTGGAATTCTTTTCAACTCCTTAGTAGCTGCTTTGCCCTGGGTGACATCACTAGGAGGGAGGGGGCTTAGAATGGAGCAATCAGCAGCATTCCATGCCTCTGCCCACCTTCAGCTCCCAGCTGGATGGGCCCTTTTTTTTTTTGGCTGAACAAAATGACACCACTTTTTGGGTGGGGTTGAAATGAATTAAAAAGCAAGTAGCTGTGGAAATAATAAAGGGTTACAATATTATCTAGAGAAAGTGAAGAAATAGGGCTGGTTTTCTCCAACTTTCATTAATACGGATAATCCTTGACTTCTGACTGGTCACTTAGGGACTGTTTGAAATTATTGACAGACCCTGAAAAAGGAACTTACCACCCAGATTCAAAGTAGCTCTGTAGTCACCTGGCCGCATTTTGGGCACTCAAGAACCAGCCCACATTTACAGCCGTTTGCAGCGCCCCATGTTCAGGCGTCTGTGATTTGCCATGTTTTGGCCAAAAAACCCTCCCAATGTTTACTTCTAGTTCCTGGCAAAACCTGACCCAAAATGAAGAATCGGTTCGTTAACAACCGCCATTTTTATTCTACAACTACTGCATGATCATGTTCCCTTAATGACCACTGCAAACAGGTCATAAAATCAGAAACAGTCATGTGGTTACTCGCTTTACGACTATCATGACTTACAACTTGCAGATTCAATTATGGTGGTAAGTCGAGGATTTCCTATAGTGTCAACCTATGTTAAAACACAGCAGTAGATTTGGGAGGGACTAAAGGAAATATTGTGATGACCTGCTAGAATTTGCTACCTGGAGAAGCAAAAGTCTGGCCAGGAGGTAAAGGAATTTAAGCATGTCTCTGAAGGCTATTGAAGAAAAGTCCACGTATCAGAACTTTTCTGTGCAATAGTATATTTGGTCTAAGGCAGGGGTGTCAAACTGCCGGCCCGCAGGCCAGACGCATCATCCAGAAGCCACACCCACACCATTGCCGGCAATGGCAAAACCGTCCCGATACGTTGCGTGACGTCATGTGATGTCGCGAGTTTGACATGTCTGGTCTGATAAAGCAACAGGCTAGAAACCAGGAGACTGTTCTACTCCCACTAGCCATGAAAGCCAACTTTGGGTCAGTCGCTCTTTCTCAGCCCAACCCACTTCACAGGGTTGTTGTCAGGGGGAAAATAGGAGAAGGAAGGAGTATTAGGTACGTTTGACACCTTTAGTTACTTATTAAGTAATAAAGGTGTGATTAAGAAACCTTTAAAAAAAATCTAAAAAGAAACATGCTAAAAAGAGGTAGCAAGAAAGGGATTCTTTCCAGAAGCATTGATTGGCCATTGTGGAAATCAGGAAGCCCAACTTAGTTTGTGTTTCATAGTAAACAAGTTTGATCTAATAGTATATCTCAGGATAGATAATATACAACAGTATTCTCTACTTTGGAACTCAAAGCTAGGCTCTTTACCCCATACACACATACTAGCGTGGATACCCATACATACACAAATCAAATGTTGTGTATGTAAAAATCACTGCAAATATGAAGAACTATATAATTTGAGCTTGCTTCTCATCCTTTTGTACTCTTAGTTAGGGTTAAGAACTTAGTTCCTAGGATTTTGGCACTTCTGTCCAATTAGCAGAGAGTAGCCCTCTTTTTACAGCTGGCTATTCCACACCGAGACCACATTTCTTTTAGTAGCAGGTTTCTCTGTCGTCTTTATTGTCCCCTCCCTTCCAATGCTTGGGAAACTGTTCAACTCCGTAGTAGAGTCTGCAAGGAAATGGGGGACGCGGATGGACTCAGAAATGCACGGCTGAGGAAAAAGAGCAGCCTAGGCATCAAAGCAAACATATGGCAACCACTAGGGGGAAGCCACTCCAGATGTCTTTCTCCATGTACTATCCTACCTTGTGAAATTCTCCAGGGAGAATTCACTCTGAATGATGTGCACACAAGTTTGTGGTGTCATGGCTTCTGTTGCTAATTCCCATATGCTTTTTTGGGTGGAGGGAGGGATACGGAGTTGTGGCAGGCCAGCTGCTGATGAAATCCGGTTGAACTCATCACTGGCCCATGGCAAACTCAGCATGGAGGTAGTTCACACCTCTGTGTTTCATGCACTAAATTAAGTCAGTGTCACTTCCCTCCAGCAAGAGCAAGTTCTGGATACCATCCCAGTTTGGTCTCTTTCATGTATCCCCATTCTTTAAAACTATGTGCTTACTCAGCCACTTCAGTCTCTCTGTCTGTCTGTCTCTCCCTCTCCCCCCCCTTCCCCCATTTTTTTTTTCTTCAAGCCGTCTCCTGCTTCTGTGTCTTCTCTGGGCTTCCTCCTCCCCTCCTTTGGCAGTCCCACCTCTAATGCTCTCACCCCTCCTCTTCAGCTCCTCCCTCACAGCTAGTGGCTGGAAAACTTTTAAAAAGCTCTCTCAGTTCTTCAAGTTAAGGGTGAAAAAAAGGGGGTGTTTGGGATGGGAGGGAGGGTGTGCTCTTTTCTTCCCCTCTGAAGACCCGTCTCAGCAGTTTTCTTCCAGGCAAAAGGGGAAGGAAGGACACCAGCCATCACCAAGAGACAGGAGACTTTAAAGTTTAAATAGGCAGGTCTGAGTGCCTGGAATAGGCACTTGAGTTTTAACCTCTGAAGAACTGAAAAGCTGAAGCCCTTCTCTGCTGACCGGGAAGGTAAGGATGGAGGTTCGGGGGAAAAAGTTTCATTTGGAGTTCTTTCCAACAAACTTTCTTAAAGACTAAGGTTACCTGTGATTGGAAAACTATATATGTAGTTATATATATGCGTGTTTATATAAATTATATATATAACTATATACATTTAAATATGTACATAATATGAAACGTTTTGATATGATTTTTTAATGTTGCCCAGTAACAATTATAATTTCCTTTGATATTAATGGGTTTCTTGCTTCTTTCCAGAACATTTTTTAATGTGACTAGACCTTTACTAGATTAACCAACTCGGGAGGAGCCATTTGTTTAATAGTTTAGGTCGAGCTTAGCTTTCTCACCCAGTATAATTTTGTTTAATTTTCACTTTATTTACTGAAGGAGAATGTTTTTTGTCTGTGTAACAAAAATCCCTTTCTTTACAGCAAGCTAGCTTTGAGGAAAGGTACCCAACGCAGGCGGCAGCAATCTGCTGTAGTTTCTCAATTACTTTTAAAGCTGCTCTAGAAATCTGAAATCACCATAACTTCTTTAATTCTCCCTCCCATTCCCCCCCCCCCCGCCAAAAAGATGCACACGTATACACATATTGTTTTCATAGGGAAATTGTGATTCGGGCTTTCGGGTTCATACCAAGCGTGGTCCTTAATTGGGGCTTTGTTCAACTGCTGCTGCTTCTGCTGTTGTTAACTGCTAATCGGATGACTTTTCACGTGGTCTCCCTCACCTCCACCTCCCTTCTCGTTCCTAGACGCAAAGGTTGGGAGAAAAGGGCTAGAAGCGAGGTTGCGTGTAACTGGGTTACCTTGAATCCTAGGAGCCCAGAGGCGCCGGGCGGCAGAATCGCTTCTGCCTTACTCCGCTGGCAATTTCAACCAAACTTTTTGTTGTTGTAACCTGAAATTGTGCAAGATAGGCGTTCAGGGAATAGTAACCTGACTGTGGCAAACTAGTTCCTAGGATCCGATTATAATCGTCTCTCAGCACTGGAAGGAAGAGTCAGTGTCTACGTTTGCTTTTTCCCCCTTTTTTTTCCCTGAAGGCTTTGGTCGCTAAGGAAGGCTGAAAACCAAAACAGCCAATCTCGTTTTTGGTGAACTCCTCTGCTTCCTCTCTTATGCCAGTCTCCACTTTTCTTTACTTCTGCCCTAGTAGATTGGTCAATCTGCTGTGCGCACAATTTTAAAAACAGAAGAATTTTAGGAGAGATTTGTTTTGTTAAAGCCAGCGAGGTCAACTAATGGAAGAATGAAGTCTCTCGGTTTCAGAAAACTCCTTGTCTCTTTGGGGGAGTGGGGAGAGGAGGTAGAGAGAGGAAGGGGCATTCCTTCAGCCATGTTGCCCATCTGGAGCTTCCAAAGTTTGAAGAACACTTTATAACAGCTCTGGGGAATTGCTCGTGCTAAACTGTGATACATTTAATAAACGAGAGATGCACTTGTGGAATTCCACAAGGGAATGAAATTAGATGCCCTGTTTCTTAACAGAAATGCACTTTTAAGTCACAAGGATAAAGTTTGTTTAGCAAGAAGTGCTAAACAGAGGTTGATCTGGATGTGGGGAGATGCAAATCCAGGCAGAAACGAGTAATTTTGAGGTTGTAGTGATGAGATAAAACTGCCTTTAAGTTTTGAAGGGGGAAAAAGAGACAGAATGGGAATAAAACTTTTAGTGCTTTCAATGGGTAAAAGAATTTTGCAAAAAAAACCCCACAACCCTTCTAAAGTGAGTCATTGTTCCCATTTTATAGATAGGTAAATGAGACTCACAAGAATAAATAACCAAGAATTTGGAGCTGAACTTAGTGACTAAGATTGTATTCAGCGAAGCTTATCCCTTGGTATAACTTTAAAAATTGCAGCTTTAACTTCCGTAGCAGAGGAATTCAGATTTGTAACTCCTAAGTAATTTTTATTGCATCCAGTGAGATTTAATTTTGCAGTAAATGAGCTTGGAGTTTTTACATAGCACTGCAAATATAATGCAGATTTACTATGAATAAGTCTCTTTGAATGTTATGATTTAACCTTACATGTGTAGGTTAAGCTGCCTGTCAACCAGATGTTAGACATATCACACAAACATATACAAAATGTGTATGTGCCTACCCAATTGACTCAACTATATATTTTTTTCAAAAAACATTGTTACAGAAAATGACATAAAGAAAAATTGTTCATGCCCCCCAGTGTGTTTTTCAAAATGTTGCACAGGTCATAGTAGACATTAATCTTCAGCAAATATGCGTAGTTTTAGCTACAGGATAGGATTTATATGTAATATTATTAGGGCTCTGATATAAATTATTAGAATTATTACAGAATTATAATTATCAGAATTATTACGGCTACCAGCTCTGGCTGTAAAACTCCATATAACCACCAGATGGCAGCATTAATATTATGGAAGTTTTGTTGCATAGTTTCTGTACTTCTATTTTTTTTTTTACATTTATAACTTTCCTCTCCAAGATCCTTCAGGTAGTATTTAAAAATCATCCTCCCGATCCCATCTCGCCCCCAGCCCCAAAACTATGTTAGGCAGATTAGGCTGAGAATGGTGACTGGCTTCAGATAGCACAATGAGCTTGTGTGTGAGTAGGAATCTGAACTTGGGTCTCCCTGAGCCAAATCCACTTCTCTAACCATAACAGACTGGCTTAGCAATAATCCCATACATTAGGGTCTTTTCAGGTCTCTTCTGTAACCGGATTTGTATTCTTATTACAGAGGCTTTTAGAAGGATTTCTTGGCTGTTTGGATTTTTAAAAGGAAACTAAGTAACTATCAGCTAAGGCATCTTCCAGTATTAAGTTCCCTACTATTAATCAGTATTCAAGACATCTGTATTTGTATTCAACTTTTCCCTATTAGTTAATTACAGGTCCAGTTTTGCTATTCTTTGAGCAATTAATGATGCCTGTGGAGGATTATGTGTGCCACAGTTTCTTTTTCTAAACCATGTATATATATATGTATATTCTGTAAGTGTATAGATACATCATCATCATTTTAGCCATTGTGCCCTGGGAGGCCGGGTGGGTGTGGCCAGGGTGAGTGCGGCCTACTGGGTGGGCATGGATGGAGTGGGTGTGGTCTACTGGGTGGATGTGGCCAGCTCTACATCATTCCGTCAAGAGTGCCTGTGGGGGCCTGGGCAGGAGTGGGACAGATCTGAGGGTCTCTGGCAGAAGGGGGTGGGACCAGGGCAAATGTCAAGGCATGGTCCACTGGAGGAGCCTCACTGTTCCTCTCAGGCCATGCGGGGGGGGGCTGGATGGTGGCGTGGGCTGCCCGGAGCCCTGGGCAGCAGAGGTCAAATGCCCAGCCTGGCCCTCGAGCACCTGCAGCACCAAGCCTTTTCCAGACGGCCTTGTGGAGCTAAGACTGAATACGTTTCAGCATAGATGGCCACCACAAAATGGTACATTGGCTCCCGGCTGGCCTGGGCCAGGGCCAAGGCAGCGGGGGCTGTTTCCTCACTGTTTCCAGGATGGCTTCGCAGGCCTTGTGTTTGACATGTCTGTACTACAGGATGAGGGCCTCTTCCAAATGCTTTCTGTATTTTGTTGCTATCCTTATACTATTACCAGTTTATTACCAGTTGATAACTATTACAATATACTATTGCTTTTCAATTACTTCTATGACAATGTTTATACTGTTACCTATTTCTCTATTATAATTAGCTATATACTATGCTCTATACCAGGGGTGTCAAACTGCGCCGGTTGCATCATGCGGAGGCTATGCCCACCCCAGCTCCGGCAATGCGAAAAAAGTCATTTCTTCTTCTGTTAATGACTACCATGTAGAGCCCTTGCACATTTTTTATGTTGTGCTTTATTTTCCTGGGCTCCTATATTTTTCCTCTCATTTAGATCATCTACTCCTTCTGAAGGAAAAACACATTCTTTCTTTTGGCTGCTATACAGAGTTTGCTGGTGACTGCAAAGCTCCAAACTCTGCATCTCTGCCACTCTCCTCCCACACCTGTGTCAAGGTTTGCCTTCAGTTGTGTAGATGCTGGGGGAAAGGCTCAAATGGGAGGGAAAGAAGGCAGCACAGGTGCTTGCAATTTTACTAAGCAGCCTCTTCTCTCACAATATGTAATAATCCAGCACATCTGGAGAGTACCACATTAAGAAGGGTGATCTGATTATTGTATTTTTGTCAAGTAAACGTAGATCTACATTCCAATCCTTGGAACATTCTTGGCCTTTTCTATCCAAGAGCTAGGCGTTGAGTTACAACAGCTCTCACACACAGAACTCGGCACCACACCGCTATGACTTGGAATTCTGTGTGCCTCCTGAGACTCCATTCAGTTATCCACATAGGCACTTAAGCTTCATTTTATCTATGAACCATATAATATGATTCATAGACCAATGTCCTTCATTTTTCTACTTGCTTTTTTTCCTTTTAAAAGAAACACAATGAATGACAGGTCCGGCCTGCTGCTTTCCCATTTATCCTGCTGAAAATAAAAATCCCTGTCTTAACTATTGAAGTACAGGGAATTCTCAAGACGTAATGTTTCTGTTGCTAAACAAGGCAGTTATCAAGTGAGTTGTGCCTCATTTTGCAACCTTTCTGCCACAGTTGTTAAATGAGTCATTGCAGTCTGGTTTCCCCCATTGACTTTGTTTGTCGGAAGCTGACTGGGAAAAGATTACAAATAATGACCACATGACCCCAGGATAATGTAACTATCATAAATATGTGCCAGTTGCCAGGCACCCAAATTCTGATCACTTGACCATGGACATGAAAAATGGCCGTGTCATTTTTTTTCCAGTGGCAGGTTGTAACTAAACTGAAAGGTTATCATAAGTCAGGGACTACCTGTAATATAGGCAGAGAGAAGGCACTCTGTAGAGAGCTGTGATTTCAACTTTCCTGTCCTTCAAAAGTTGCCCAACGGATGTGACACGCTCTACCAGCCAGGTTCAGCAATAACTACATGTTAAGCTAGTTCTTGGGATCATGACATGCAGTACTGCCTTTGGCTGGCCCCTGACTGTCTTTTAAGTCTGACAAGCAGCGTCAATACAGTTGGCTGTACTATACTCACATCTGGCTTGGCAAAAATGAAAGCTTGATTGCCACAGAGGGAAAGGAACATTACATTTTCCACAGATGCTTCCCACATGCTTGGCTGTGAACCAAAGCGCCCAGCCAACCCACATGGCAAGCTTCTGTGTAAAGAAGCAGAATGGGGGAGCAATCCACGGGAACCCTTTCACTCACTGTTGTGTGTGTAAGGTTACAATTTGCCATAGGCAGAAAGGGAAGTTAAAACTCAGGATGTCATTTTTTTCCCCTAGAAAAGTAGCTCAAATAGTTGCTGGTTTAGGACTGATTATTGAATTATAAATGAGTGTAATCTTTCTTTCTTTGCAAAATTATGCCTGTACTCTTTTAATTTTCCACGAGTAGGGTACAGATTTGACTTTTTATTGATTAGATCTTCATTTCTCTTTTATTTTCTTCTTCTGTGATGAGCCCTGTTTCATGGCACAAGTATCACAGGAAAAAAGGTGCTTTTTAATGCCTCAACTAGTTGAAGACTTGCTGTGACAGCACAGGTGTAGCCTGAGCTAGATGCCAATCAGCAAAGTGTTGCAAAACAGTACTTTATGTCAGCAATAATATGCTAATTGCCAAGATAATATCAGAAAGAAGATACATGTGTAAGATCAGGGTTTTGATATTTATTCACATTCAGTCCTGAATGGATACTGAAATCATGAAACCATATCATCTGATTTCAAAGATTGTCCCAACTATCATATTTCAAGGCTTGTCATCTTAAAAGCTATAGTAGAAATGTACATCTCTTTTAAAATCAGTTGATACCATAAGAATTAACTTTTTCGATAGTGACAAAGATTGACAGTTCTCTGAATTTGCAGTACTTATAAACCTATTGCAGGACTATGGTTGATATGTCTTTAGAAGTCTATGGTCTGTGTCTTCTAGTACAGGGCTTTTCACCCATTGTCCAACTTTTAGGATATGGCAACATCTGAGTACCACCAGTCGCCTAGCAAGGTGTCAAAAACTTGATGACCCCCCCCCCAAAAAGGAAAAAAGTGATAAAGTACAGGTAGTCCTCGACTTACAACAGTTCACTTAATGACTGTTCGAAGTTACACTGGCACTGAAAAAAGTGCCCCCCAAGCCACAGCCGAGCAAGACACCTGCCTGCCCACCCAGCTGCGCTCTTCCTCCTGTCCAAGGTTTTCATTGTTGTGAGCATTTCTGTTGGGGATTGGCAGCGGAGGTGGGGTGGGGGGTGTTTGGTTTTTATTCCCCCAGTCTGCTGGGTGGTTGCAGCAGGTTTTGGTCACTTCACATGACCCTGAGACACTGTGACCATCATAAATATGAATCAGTTGCCAAGCATCTGAATGTAAATCACAAGACCCTGGAGATGCTGCAACATTTCAGCTGATCGGCGCTTCTTCTGGGCTCAGCAGAAGCGCCAGGATCAGCGCCGAGCTCCAGATGGAACTTGGTGCTGATCCTGGCGCTTCTGCTGAGCCCTGACAGCCCTGCAGCTCCAGCCATCTCTTGCTCAGGCTTGTGCGGTGCTGCCACCAGTTCAGCTCATTCACCTCCCCCGCTACCACTTTTCTAGAATGGTCGCATACCACCTGCCAGGTGCCAATGTACCACAGGTGGGGTTGAAAAGCCCTGTTCTAGTAAGTGAATCATGCAGTAATTCCCACCTGATCATTATCCAGACTTCTTTGATTATGCAAAATATAACTGCCAGAGAAGCAAAATATTTACAGGACACTGCTAGGAATTCATGCTTTCTTTTGATATCAGAAGGTAACTTGCATGTGTAAAATAGCATTTTACAGGCTGAAAAGGCCACAGACTGCATCATTTTCACTCAAGAGCAGGGCTTTTTTTGTCATAGAACGCCCCCAGAACAGAGTTCCGGCACCTTTTTTGGATGGAATCTTGTAGGGTAGGCAAGGCGGGTTATATGATGTGTGAGTTCCGGCACCTTTTTTTTTTCTTTTTACAAGAGCATCTCAAAACATAGCATTTCTTAATGGAGATATTTTACATTTGCAACTGGAGGCTTGGGCAACAAGTGAAGTGTACAGTATATTTGTTAATTCTAACTCATGTTGACTTTCCTAGTATGTGTGTTCAAATACATGCACTTAGAATCACCATTTTGCTGAACAATTGAAAAATACTTCTTGGAAGATTCTGGAGACTAGCTTTCAAATCAGTACATTAAAACTGAAATGGCCAATTAAGATGGCATACAGTTTAATTTATAATTATAGGCAGTTTATAATGAGGACAGTATCTTAAAAAAATCCATTGGATCTCTGGTACGATATACTGTACATAAGATATTGTGATTGGATTTGTAAACTACTTGAAAAGCCCTTCCATTACACTGAATCTAATGTGGTGTGTTCTTTTTAATTTTATTCTATCCACTTATTCCCCTGTTTTTTCTTTTGCTGCATTCAAAGCAGCAAGAAAGAATGCCATTGCCTGGTCTACCATTGAAACATTTGGACCTTCAAATCTTTGCAATACCTTTTTTAAAAAAAATGCTAATTATTGGGACACATGGTTTCGTAATTAATTCAAGAAAGATAAAATGCATCTTCAACCTGGGCAGGTTAATTTAGAAGCAGCTCATGTTGAAGAAGGAAAGAAGAAATGCTTAGCCAAACACCTAATGGAATAGATCAGCGGTTCTCAACCTATGGGTTGCGACCCCATTTGGGGTCGATCGACCATTTCACGGGGGTCGCCAAGCAAGGCTGTCCGCCATTTTTTTCCCCTTTTCCGGCAGGTGCCTTACCTCCCTTGAGCTGGGCCAGCTGCTGGTCAGCCTGCTCCGTCTCTGCCGCTTGCCAGCTATGACTCGGCCGGCGCAGGGGGCGGAACCACGCATGCGCGGCGCTCCCGGGCAGGGAAAGTCCTCAACTTACGACCGGTTGGGTAGTCCTCAACTTACGACTGGTTTAGTCCTCGACTTACGACCAGTTTAGTCCTCGACTTACGACCGGTTGGGGGTCACGGCATTAAAAAGGTTGAGAACCACTGGAATAGATAATATCTTTCAGAAGTGTATATACAATATGCATAAGAGTTCTATATTAATGCATATATAGATGCTAATGAAATGTTCAGCCTCCTATCCAGATGCTAACTCCAGATGGGCACTTTCAAGGCTCTTGGTGATTCTCTTATAGCGTCCTTGAAACTAGGGAGCTGTTCAAAGAAAGAATGCTTGTTGAGCAGAGAACTTTCCTTAGCCTATCCTTCAAAGGATTGAAAAGAGACACTAGCAGTTGGCAGTATACCAAGTTACATAAAATAAACAGTATAAAAAAAAAACATAGGCTTCTGTAGAATAGGACACACCAACAACCTATATACAGCACATTTGTATATATATATATTTAATTAGAGAAGCCCCATTATGTTCAATCAGTGGAGCAGAGTGGTAAGTAAACTATGTTTAGGATTGAAATCTCAACGTGATCATTAAGGGTATGTGAGTGTTATATAAACAAAAAGGTGGGATATGAATCAAATCTATTAACCCAAATATTTTCATTTAAGGAACCACACAGATTGTCAAAAGACAAAAATAGAATCCCTGTTCTCATTAAAGATGTATCTCCCTGAGACTTTTTTGCATAGGCATTGACAGAGCTATAAGAATCTTTAAAATGAATCACTGTTAAGAAATATCAGTTTCTTCGAATTGTTTGAGTAATTTATACAAGGCTATTTTTCCCCCCTCTCCTCCTGGGCAACCTAGGAAAGCAATGAAGTTAACTTTGCCTGTTAGAACAAATTTAAAAATCTATGTTAAATTGAAAAGAGATACTGCTGTCTTTTAATTAAATAGAAAAGATGTGTACCACCTCTTTCCATAGTAGCTAGGGCCAAAGCAGGACTGACTGATTGCTTGATTGATGTACTTTACTATTTTTAAACTTCTCTAGAATAATATTTTTGTTTTCAATTGCAATTTCAGTCTAAAATAGCTTTATATTAGAAAGAAACTCTAGAATGGAATTGATAATGGCATAGGTGTGTACTCACACTCTAAAGAACACAGACTTGCACAATAAAATTTCCAGATTTTTAACCTTGTTTCATCACATAGAAAATAATCCTACGATCATAACCCAGTTATCTTAATTTCACATACAGGTGTTTCATCATCCCATCCTCATGCATGCGCTGTAGGTCATGAATGAATTATGCAGGCCATGCTTCAGCTCTTTTCCTTTGTTCTCTTTCAGGAAGCAGGTAGAGAAGATGGGCGACTGGAGTGCCCTTGGTAGGCTCCTGGACAAAGTCCAAGCCTATTCTACTGCTGGAGGCAAGGTGTGGCTCTCTGTCCTTTTCATTTTCCGAATCTTGCTTCTGGGGACAGCAGTGGAATCTGCCTGGGGAGATGAGCAGTCAGCTTTCCGATGCAACACTCAACAACCAGGTTGTGAAAATGTCTGCTATGACAAATCGTTTCCGATATCTCATGTGCGTTTCTGGGTGCTGCAGTTCATTTTTGTTTCGGTGCCAACCCTTTTGTATTTAGCACACGTCTTCTACGTGATGCGAAAAGAAGAGAAACTAAACAGGAAAGAGGAGGAGCTCAAGGTGGTCCAAAGCGAGGGAGTCAATGTAGACCTGCCTCTAAAGCAGATAGAAATCAAGAAGTACAAGTATGGGATTGAAGAACATGGCAAGGTCAAAATGCGCGGCGGGCTGCTTCGTACTTACATCATCAGCATCATTTTCAAATCTATCTTTGAAGTGGCCTTTGTCATGATACAGTGGTACATCTATGGATTCACTCTGCAAGCCATCTACACTTGCGAACGGGTGCCATGTCCACACAAAGTGGATTGCTTCCTCTCTCGTCCCACAGAGAAAACCATCTTTATTATCTTCATGCTGGTAGTATCCATAATATCTCTGACTCTCAATGTCATTGAGATCTTTTATGTCACCCTCAAGAGCATTAAAGATCGCATGAAGACCAAAAGCAATCCTTTCTCTCCCAACAGTGGCTTAAGTCCCTCCAAGGACTGCGGATCTCCGAAATACGCCTACTTCAATGGATGCTCCTCTCCGACTGCCCCCTTGTCGCCCATGTCTCCACCAGGATACAAGCTTGTAACGGGAGATAGGAACAATACATCGTCCTGTCGCAACTACAATAAACAAGCCAGTGAACAAAACTGGGCAAACTACAGTGCCGAACAGAACAGGATTGGACAAGCTGGGAGCACCATTTCCAACTCACATGCCCAGAACTTTGAATTTAACGATGAGCCGGAGAGCACCAAGAAAGTGGGCTCTGGCCACCACGAGCTCCAGCCTCTCACAGCGGTTGACCAGCGGCCACCAAGTCGTGCCAGCAGTCGAGCCAGCAGCAGACCACGACCCGATGACCTGGAGATCTAGCCCTTTGGAATTGCCGTAGTCAGTGCGACTATGAAATACGAATTGCATTAGCACGTGGTGTTCACGTGGTTCCCACGGAGGTGTGGTACTTTAACAGTCTCAGCCAGGAGATTTTAATAAGCAATATATAATTATATATATATTAAAAAAAATGTTGATTTTCTTTTTTTTTTCTGGTAACTGGGAAGCGGGGTGATGTGAGGGAGAACAGCACATACTGGTATTTAAAGTAGCTGGTTTAAAAGAAAATCTTAGTCAACACAACAGTAGGGGGAGTTGGTTTTTGTTTTGTTTTAGAAATATTATATGTCAGGAAATGTATGTCTATAATATGTCGATTTTTCTAAAAAGTTTCGTTTTTGTTATACTAAAAAGTTACACTGAAATAAATTGGGGGGGGGGAATGGTTTAGGATGAAATGCAGATATCATTCCTTTACTGAACAACTGGCAGCCTTAAGTCAGATATTGATCATTTTTCTATTAAGAACATTCCTTTGCTAAAATGTGCACTTTGGGACAATTTCCTGGGATGAACTTGTCATGCAGTTATCATCTGTTTCCCTGGAATCAATCAATTACATTTCAGACAAGGCCCACCCAATATGCTTTGACCATTTTCTTCCTGCTTCAGATCTTTCAACCTAAGTTAACGAATCAGTTCAAGGATTTTTCAATTTTATTAAATTTCATTCTACCGCTACTGCAAGATTCTACCAACTTGAATATAGGATCCTACTCAAACTCTCATTATTTTAGCTATGGTTGGGTGACCATCCTGAAACTGTTTTGGAGATGATCAGAAAAATCATGGGTTGTTTGTTTTATTCTTGCTGCTTCTCCTCCTTTTTAAAACTTGGTTTTGCCATTTCTCTGTGAATGCTTAGGAGGGATATGAAGCCAAATTGGGAATCATCTAGAAAACACAAATAGACAATGCAATCACATGCATGATTATTTGAAGCTGTGGTTGTAATTAGCAAACCAACAAACTATGATTTCCAACTATTATATTGCCCTCAAAGATCATACCTTATCCTACCACATAATACAAAATGGCTCAGTGTTACGTGTGGACCCTGCCATAGCCTTCACTAATTACTAGCTATAAAATGTGAAGCTGGACAAATGAAATTATTTTTGTCTGATGTGGTCATCTACTATGTACAAATCTTTTCACAGTTTAAGTTCCATCAGAAGCAGGGAGTTGGGCAATTGTGTGGTTGGAATCACAGCCACTATAACTAGAGTTATTTGTGATTGCTGTACGATAACTGGAGTTATTTGTGGTTGCTATACAATCGCACTGATACACCCATAAAATGGTTAACTATTATGGGTTATTATGGGTCACTATCGTGTTTACATTAAAAGATTCCAGCAGTGCAAACAAATCAGGTATTCTTTTAAAGAATTTCAATATTTCCATATATTTTATAGCAAGTGTATTTCACGAATTAAGGATATTTCAAGAATCAAGTTCTGGTGGCTTTTGAAAAACTTCCATTTGCATTCCAGCTAGACATTTTGCCACAATAAAACTTGTGAGTAAAACATCCAAAGTTGCATATTTCTGCAATCAATTATCTTTCCTTAAAATTAAGGAAGAATTCTGCTTGTTTCTCCATCTTTTTATAATTTATGCTTGAATAACAATGATGGTAGTACTGGGAGAAGGGAAGATTGTTAGCCTGCCAATAATGTGAGAGACTTGAGGATAAATTACACATCCATATTGTGCAGTAATTGCAGTTATCATGTGATAGCTTGAGAGGTGGAGAAATTAATTAACTGCACTGCAACCTCATTGGATGGTGTAAATAGATCCTTACATAAACTGTTTTGAGCTGTATTAATAATCCCTATGACAATTTTAAGATATCAAGAATGTTACACTTGCTGTTCACTTATAAGTTAGCTCAATAATAACATGATTCAATTCACTTTTGATAGTCCATTTTTCTTAATGACAGTTTTAATATTTGCACACATTTTTGTCGGGGTGTAAGTGAGGCTGAAAGAGTACAATTCTAATTTATTTGAAATATATATTAAGGAAATATACCAGTGTTTATTTTCCATTTTCAACCACAGTGCCTTTTTAGTTCAACGCAGTTCATGCAGCTTCGGTTTCATTTTGCAGCAACACAGATTTAAATGTTTAATATGTTTTACCAAGTTGTTTGACGTTCACTTTTAAAACTATTGTCAAGCTCATTGATTGCATGCATACTTCCATAGTTCATCAAATCACACTGTCTGGAGAACAAACCTTAGTCAATAAAGTTTAATTTAGTATAAACTGGTTTGTCAATAGTCATTCTGTGTGTTGGTTTGGTTTAACTTGGTATTAAGTGGGCAGCTTGGTCAATTATTTGTGCTCTAAATGGCATTTAAAAATGACAATCCATATGAACCAATTTATTCATTGTTAGGCCAACTCACACATTACTTGTGTGAAAATACACACATAGCCGCTCATTAAGTAGGATCATTAAAAATCATGTTGTACCATGTGAGATAAGCTGAACATGGTGAAGCTGGGCCCGGTTATGTAAAGTTGTGTAGCTTTATGACAGCAAATATTTTTTTCAAAATTTGTGGAAAAGAAGAAACAAGCAATTGGGGTATGTGTGAGGGAATGGAATACCTATCCAGCTCTTAGACCACCTGTTTTCGTCTTTAATTAAGCTCTCAGATAACACCTTAAAAATTATGTCATTTATACTTGAAATTAAAAACAGGGTGCTTCATATAACTTTTACAATTCAAAATGAAAAGGCTGGAATGTAAAAATAACAGATAAAACATTGAAGCTCAGTAATATTTGCACATCTACAGACAATTCAAAACTACAGATGAACTACTAAACTTTATATCAGAAGTCACCAGCAAGTGGGGAGACATCTGCCAATCGGTATTGCTATGACTGGCAGATATTTTTGACAGGTGGTTATGCCCAGGTTTATCAGCATCTCAAAACATTCCAGACTTACATCTTGCTTTGCACAACCCTGATCAATTTGTGTTATAATTGCAATCTCCCCCCCCCTCTTAATGTCATAGGTGAGAATCTGTTTAAATGTTAGCTTATATAGTAAACAGTATCTGTGGGTAAACTCTGAACACTTAAGTACTGAAATGGACTTTCCTTGCATGTAAACCTTACAACCTTAGAGGACTGCTTGCCTTTCCATAGTTATTTAGTAGATAACTAAATCTTCCTTGAATACTTCCATGTTATTTTCATTTCACATCTTTGCTATTTATGTGGGAAACATGACGATTAAAACATCTCTAAATGCACAAGTTAAAAGTGTTCTGTTTTCCATCTTTCAGGTGATTATGGTAAAACTTTCTGCAATCCTTTGGATTGCATCTTGAATCACAGAAGGCTTAGCTTTAAAGTTTGTACAACCCAACAGCTCTATGTCTAAAATTTCCTCTATGCACTCACATGGAAGTCTCAGCTACAGATGTGATGTGATCACATCGTCACACTATAGTAACATCGTTGGCTGTGATACAACACTGACAAATTCTCAAGTTTGGAGGAGAATTACATATCATTCAAGTTTATAAAGTCACAGATATCTATGTAAATGAAGTGGCACAATCTTGGGAAAAAATGAAAATCAATTAGCTTTTGGAATGCAAAATGAACCCACCAAATCATAGGATTGGAAGGACCCTTGGAAGGTCTTCTATAGTGCACCCCTCATACCACCTCTGACAAATAGTTGTCCAATCTTTTTTGAAAACCACCTGTGATGAAGCACCCACAACTCTGGGAGGCAACTTGTTCAACTGCTTAACAGTTTTCAGTGTCAGGAAATTCCAACTCATTTCTAGATTGGATGTCCCTCTGATAAGTTTCCATTCACTGCTAGTTAGTAAACTCTTTTATTATGACTTGTCACAACATGAAAGTACAAAGCTAACTACAGGTAAGGAACCAATGGCTTTCCAGATATTGCTGATTTACAGCTTCCAAACATCTTGAAGGGCCATGGGTTCTCACAATTCTAGTCATTCAGAACTAGACATTTCTGCCATTCATTTGTGTCCTCGGTGTTCCTTCTGCCACTCCTGCTTACAGAGCAACAGACCATGCCTAGGTTTCTCCTTTTGAGAATTGCAAAAACATTTCAGATGAATACTGTACACAGGCACCGATTTTTGGCTTTACAGACCATTTTGCTGAAATTATTTTCCAATACTATGGTATATTTTTACAACTTTTAATTTTAGCCAGTTTCTTACGTGAACTCTATAATTTCCCCCCCAAGGGGTAGATTACTATTTGAAACAGGGGAGGGTTAGGGTTACAATATTACAATAAAAGTCCATTCTAGATTTAAACATAAATAGCACAATATGTTCTAATCTAATACATAAAGGCCAGCAGTTTCAGCTTATAACCATTATCTGATTGCAGATGCATGCAAACCAGAACAGGGAAAGGATCTTATTGCTGACAAAATAGCATAAATTTTACAGAATACTTTGCAACCTTTTAAGATTTCAGCTTTTCTCTTTCTTAATTTGGCAAGATTTAAAAAAAAAATCAGAAAACTGTTTGGAAGGAAAGATGCTGATGTTTGAAATTTCTCAGGACTTAGGTGCAGGTTATCATCTTGAAGACATGGCCCACTAGATCTTATCAAGTACAGAAATGAAGTTCAGTTATTCCAAAGGTTTCCCAAAACCTTCTGGGGAGGAAAAAAAAACCCAAATCATTTTGGTCACCACATTTAAAAATATATAATCCATATTTAAGATTGAATCTATAACATTTCCAGCCTTAAGTAAGCTACACAAGTCAAAAGGAGGAAATGAAGAGAACTAAATCTGACTGTTGTTATAGATTCCAATGGCCAGGCTTTCAATATAGCGATAAAGGGATAGCATATTAAAATATCTTTGATTGATAGCTTGCTTTCCTTCAAGAGCTCACTATCATAAACAGCAGGGTGTCAAAGTGTTTCATTAGTCAGACACATGACACAGGCTGTATGATCTGTGAACTTCAACTCCCAGAATTCCCGAGCCCGCATAGCTGGCTCAGGAATTCTGGGATTTGGGGTCATTAAAGGGGCCATAGTTCCTCACCCTTGGTATACAGAGTAGGGTTTTTTGACACATGTATATGAAATATACAAATGCTATTCTCACAACATGAGTTAGTGAGAGTTCCAAAATAATCCAATGAGCTATATGGTTTGGGTGGGATAATTCTGTCTCCTAACCATTAAACCCCACTGGTTCTTCGTTACCAATCATTTTATGTGAAAGGTGGTAATTGCTGGAATCGTTGGGAGAATCTTTCTCATTCTGACTCCTAAGATTCCAGGTTATTAAGGTATGATGGCATCATAGAAAGGAATTCATCTAGGACAGACAGGCCAATGGAAAGTACCATTCACTTCACTGTCAAATGCCTTTTATTCAGGGTCAACCATAGTAAGAAAGATTTAATTACATATGATAATATGGTGCATCCAGACTCAAGAAACAGGTTTCAGACACAGCAGTTCCTGCTCAGTTAAGATAGAAATTGACCAGAGATTGCTGGATAAATAAAAAGTGATCTCAAGAAAGGAGGAGGAAAAAATGACAGAATTTGAAACTTGTTTTACAAACCCAAAATCATCTATTAGGGTGAATATCTAAATTGTTATGGAAATATAGAGATGGAACAAGGCAAAAATTGCATCCATGAAGTGGATGCAAAACTTCAAATAATCAGAACACTAGGAAAAGCCATGAAAATACTCCAAGCTATAATTCAAATGTTTTACAGATGATATATAATACCATCAAAGAATATCTAGACGAGTCATATAACAATAAATGGTGGAAATGTCATAAGAAAAGGGAACTTTTATCATATGGGATGGTTATGTAAAAAAATCTCAAAAGTACTGGAAAGAAATGCATAAAAATATTCAGAAAATTCTAAAAATAGAATTTGAACTCAAGCCACAAATTTTTTTATTAAGTATAATTTCAGAAAGCATAAATGAAAAACATCACAGTTTACTAGGCTATAAGCTGACAGCCGCAAGAATAAATTTGGCACATTGGAAAAGAGGAAACTTGTTGACAATATTAGATTAGAAGATAAAATTGCAGAATATGCAAAATGGCAAAATTAACAGTAGACAAGTCAATTGACAGAATACAAATCTAACCAAATTTAAGCAGGAATGCTGTCTGATATACTACAGATACCATAACAAGGCAATTTTATGTCTTTGGAATATAGTTTAAAGGAAGAAAGTCACGAGACAATACAAATATAGATGAAAAGACTTGAAAGGATAGTTGCAATAATCTTCAATATTCAGCATAAAGAATAAATATCTAGGTGGTAGTAAGAAACAAACCTAAGAGGAGAATGTGTCACTAGAAAGTTTTCTCATAATGTTTTTTTTACTTATGCTTAGCAATTGTTTTTCTTTTACATTACTATTACAATAAAAACAGACAAACCCTTTCCTTCATTTGTTTCCTAAGCTGCAAAATCATTTATTAAACCTTGATGCAGCACACTAAGGAGGTCATGATTAAGAGCCCCCCCCCATACAATTATATTTTCTATCTCTCAACTCTTTTCTTTCTTTCTGGATAGGAGGCCAGATGAAATTGACCCATAGGTAATTAGCAACATACCAACTGGAACTGTTTTACAAGCCCTTAATCACACTATGGTCTGCTTCTGGGCGGTGGAAGGTGAAGTTCAACTGACACCCAAACTGGGGCTTTCATCTTGTAATTCACAAGATACATGTTTCCATTTTATAAATAAATGCATCTCTTAGGTTTCCTGCCTTCAGAAACACAAGTGTTCTGCCTTAGAAACAAAATAGGCAACACTGCAAAACTGGGGTCTCAGAATACTTGTTTCTCCATCACCAAGACAGTTTCAAAACATTAGAATCTTCTAAATTGGTGAACTCAGCCTTGGAGACTTGGAAACATGTGGACTTTGGCTCCCAGAATTCTCTAGCTACCCCAGACTTCACAATTATTCATAAGAAAGACAAAAAGTTATATATAATGGACCTTGCTATATGGAGACAACAACTGGAAAAAGTATCACAAAATATAAAAATCTGCAAATAGAACTGTGGCACAAGAAAGCAAAGGCAGTACCAATAGTAACAGGCATGTTGGGTGCAATCCCAAAACATGTGGAGCCGCACTTGAACACCATTGCCATTGACAAAGTCGCCATCAGTCAATTGCAAAAGGCAGCTTTACTTTGCTGCTTACATCACACAAAGATACCTTTAACA